CCTGCAGCACGCCCATGACGCCGACGACGGGCCCGACGACGCCGCCCTCGCCGCAGCCGACGACGCTCTCGGGCGGGGGCGGGCGTGGGAACACGCACCGGTAGCACGGGCCCCTCCCGACCGGGCTGTTGAGCCGCAGCAGCTGGCCGGCGGTCTGAAAGGCCGAGGCGGACACGAGCGGCTTGCGCAGCAGCACGCACGCGTCGGAGATGAGGTACCGCGCGGCCGGGTGGTCGGTGCAGTCGAGCACCAGGTCGTAGGCGCGCAGGATGGAGGCGGCGTTTTGCGGGGTGAGTTGCGTCGCGTGCGCGTGGTACGTGATGCTAGGGTTGAGTCTAACACCAAGACGTCAGTCATGTTTGAGATGATGAAAGGGAATGGTGTGTACTGTTTGAGGTAGGTGATGGCGCTGTCGACCTTGGACATGCCGACGCGGCTGGTTGCGTGCGCCACCTGCCGGTGCAGGTTCGACACTTCCACCGTGTCCCCGTCGACGAGCCCCAGCACACCGACGCCCGCGCCGGCGAGGTACGCGGCAGCGGGACAGCCCAGGCCGCCTGCGCCGACGAGGAGCACCTTGCTGTTGCGCAGCCGGAGCTGGCCTGTTGATGGATAATGAGCCGTTTGTACGTTGTCGACACCAGGCAGGCGCGGGGAGAGAGTGGAAGAGGGGGGGGCGTACCTTGCAGGCCAAAGTTGGGCACAATCATCTGGCGACTGTACCGCTCATACTCGTCCTCTGTGAGCGGCCACTTCCAGTCCTGCCGGGGCGGGAGTGCGTGGCCCGTGTCGTCGGTCTCGCGCTCGGCGGCGGCGGCGAGCTGTGACCGCAGCTCGGCGAGCGCAGACTCGTGCTGTGCAATCTCGGCCCGCAGGCGGTCCGTGTCTTCTGCCGTCATCAAGTTGTCGGGGGGTAGCGGGCGGCGCAGCGCGCGTGGAGCGAAAATGTTTGATCAATTTCGACGGCCGTTGTTGCGGCTCATGTGCATTGTTGGTTTGTTGGAGCTTCCAGGTTGGGAGTCAGAGTGGGCTGAAACGTTGCCCCTCCCCCCACCTGACAGCGGGTGTTAGGCGATGTGTGCCGGGTGGCGAGTTTATGCACATCATGCCTGCAACTTGATAGGTCTTGTCAAATGGCGCAAGCCGTCTTGAATAAATTGTTCCTTGCAAGGGGGTCTGGCATTCGTCTCCGCACATGAGCCCACACTGCCCCAGGCGCGCCCTTTAGAAGAGCTCCGACACGCCCTTGACTGTACATGGCGGGCACAGGTTGAGAGATATGTTAGCAGAACCCTTGTTTTTATAGAGCCAATTTTTTTCTTGGCAAGTCGCACCACTGCCGATAGCCGAATGAGCTCCGGCCATTCGAGATTGATAATCGGCGACGATCCGAATCACCACCGAGAGCCCAGTTTGAGCAGTGGTCTAGCCACTGTCAACCCACAGAATATATAGAGGTCGCCCGTTCCCGCTGCCTCCAGTACCATACTACGTATCATTCCCACCACAACCTACCATTCTCCTTCTCCTTGACCTTATTCATCACCATGGCTGAAGAACGCAAACCCCCATTTCCCCCCTTTACGCTCGAAACCGCCAAGATCAAAGTCAAAGCCGCCCAAGACGCCTGGAACACCAAGTGCGCCCGCCCCCAGACCATCCCCAGACCTCAACTCCTCTGCTAACCCCCCCCCAGGACGCCCGACACGGTCAAAATGGCCTACACGCCCGACACCATCTGGCGCAACCGGGACCAGTTCCTCTGCGGGCGCGACGCCGTGCGCGCCTTTCTCGCCGACAAGTGGGCGACCGAGAGCGGCTACCGGCTGCGCAAGGAGCTGTTTGCCTTTACCGACGACCGCATCGCCGTGCAGTTCTGGTACGAGTGGCACGACGCCGCCGGCCAGTGGTGGCGCACCTACGGCCTCGAGGACTGGACCTTTGCCCCGAGCGGGCTGATGCGCAAGCGCCAGATGAGCGGTAACGATGTGCGCATCGACGAGGCGGAGCGCTGGTTCAAGGACGGCGTGGATGTGAATGCCGTGGATATTGGGGAGAAGCACTGGTAATTCATCTCGACAGCGTTGTGTACTAGCTGCACAGCGGTCGCGTCATGCAGAATCATGGGTGGCCAAGCTGCCTTGGATATACCTATTATTTACCTAGACTAACTCTCTTATCTTTATTAATACTAGTATGAGTAGTATATCAGAGTGGTTTAATGCCTATTCGGTAGTTATAGATTCTTTTAATAGTTCTCTGGAAGGTGTGTTCCTCCTAATTACAATATCGGATTGGAATATAAAGGAATATATTCAATGCTAAATAAAGTCTAGCGTTAGTCACTCAGGTGTTGGCTCAGGCCTAGGCACATTGGGCGGAGCAGGCACAGGCTTGGGTGCCGCGAATTCCGGGTTTCGGGCCTTGAGACACTCCTCCTCGCTAGCGAAGCTCTCCTCCTTGTACTCTGCCCAGTATCCCTTGCTACAGTACATGATCGTACCAACGCACGGCTCCGAATGGCCCATCTTGTTGCCCCCAAACAAGGAGGCGCCACAAGCGCTCGCGTTGCTCCGGTTGGTCCCCGACAAAAACGGCTTCAGGGACGGATCCTGGCGGGAGCCGACGCACTCCTCGGCGGAGCCAAAGCTCTCGCCAAACTGCGCATAGAAGCCCTTTTGGCAGTAGTTGAGCGTGCCAACGCACGTCTCGGACTTGTCCCGGGTGTTGCCGTCTACGAGGGCGTTGCCGCAGCTCTTGGTTGCGTTGTCGGGCTGCTTGAACGGCAAGAGCGGTGCTGGGGGCGCGGGCTGGCGGGACGCGACGCACTCCTCGGCGGAGCCGAAGCGCTCGTCAAACTGCGCGTAGAAGCCCTTTTGGCAGTACTTGAGCGTGCCAACGCACGCCTCGGACTTGTCCTGGGTGTTGCCGCCAAAAAGGCTGTAGCCGCACTTGACGGGATCCCTCTTCTCAGCGGGCTGGACAAAGGGCCGCTTGGATTCGGTCTGTCGAACACGGAGTGATGTAGCAGCGGCAAGGCCGGCGGCTGCAGTCATCATGATGGAGAGCTTCATCTTGCTGCAGGAGTGGTTTAGAGCCTCTGAATGGAGTGAAAAGGGCGTATGGAGTCGAAAAGGTCCGACTTGAAAGAACTGGTCACCTTGCTCGCACTTGGACAAATTCATATGATAGATAGGTGGCGACTGTCCTCTTTATATGTTTTCTTGGCCCGGATCAATCTTAAAACCTTTACTATTGCTGCCCTATATCGTCGGACGAGTCAGACCCTCGCGGTGTTTTATGTATTCTTTGATAATTCCGACTACGTGGTGATATACGCTGACCATCAGAAAGACTCCACCTTGTTACAGTTGCAACATGAGTCGGAGTTGAGGAAACAAGCGTGCTGTCAATGGTTTAAAAGAGGTAAATTGAGTCAAGTTCCGCATTTTGTACATCTGTACTTGGTAACAAGTTTTGAACTATGCGAGCATGCTTCGAGAAGATACTGGAGGGCCCCTTCGGAGCACAGCGAGATAACAACTTGTCCATAATTATGCGGCCATTCCTCAAATCATGTAAGCTTATGATGTTACACGGGTAACATTCAACACTCATGCCTGGTTTGCCTGTGATTGTTAGCTTCGACTCAATTGGCTCAGAGGCAGGACCACACCTAGTACGTAACACCATGCATGGGCTGTGTATTGTTCCGTCGATGGCCTCAGGGCGAGGCTACCAGTGCTTCTATTTGAACCGCTTGGCTCAAGGCAGATTTTCCCTGTCTTCTCGTACCCACCTGCAGAACAATGGGCGTAATGGCTGAGCAGAAACTCCTGGAAAGTTTGGAAACCTGGCTCGACGCTGTGCCGTGCTTGCAGGTACGAGAGCCACTGTGTCCCACGCTGATCAACACCATGCATTGCGTGCTTCCAAAAGGGTGAGTCAAGTTTCCGTCTGATTGAGCATGACGCCTGAGCTTGCATCATCAGACGAAGCGGATTCCCACTGCGCACCTGGGACAGAGGGCTTCCCAGCACTGATAATATCAAGTTGCCTTTTCTCCAACTATCCCGGCTGCGATTACCCTGCGCACACACGTAACACTTTTACTATTTATAAGCACAGACTACACTTATAGTCGTTCGTTATAGTGACATGTGGTCCTTCGGCGCGGGCCGCTGTGGGGATGGGGTATAGATGGGGTCCAGCCCCGGCTGCTGTAGTAACTGTCTCTCTCTTCTAATAACAAATGTGACAAGGCTCCAGCCTCCTGTAGCCGGCCACCTTTTGGCGCAACAGTACCATTCTCCAGACAAGGCTCCGGGCAGGACAAGAGCCTTGCCATTCTTGTTGCGGCGGCTTTGTTATGATTCGGTAGCCAATAGAAAAGCGCGACTCAAAAGCACCATGGCCTCGATGAACATGTGGCCAAAGTCAGCATTCTTTCCTTTGGCATCATCCGTTCTTATGGTCTTACACTATCATTCTTAGACTCACGCCAGCTCCTACAACCTCTTACGCTTAACAGCACGGACCTGTCCCATGACGTAGCTCACATCTGTCACTCGGGTGTCTCCAAAAAAGGCACACGTCGCCGCCACCGCTCCCCATGGTCCATGCCAACTATGTCATCGCCATCATTGTCATTCTCCATATAACAATCGGTGTCCTCCTCGGCATCTGTATTTGCTACATCAGGCGCCGCATCTCACCGCCGGACACCACCATCTCTACTGACGACACCTCATCAACATCCACCTCCTACATCACCAAAGTCCCAGCGCGAACGCCAGCGCCAGCTCCGCCTCCGCCTCCTCCTCCGCCTCCGCCTACAACTCCGCCTACAACTCCGCCTACAACTCCCCCGCCGCCGTGGCCACCCGACGACGGCGCCTTTAATCTACTACCCCCTCGAAGCGGATCCTTTAACTTTCCGCGTCGAACGGACGGCGGAGCAAGTGCACATCGCAAAATGGCACGATGAACCTGCCAAGTCGCAGAGATGGTTTGGGGAATCGACAAGGACACGAGACCCAGAGATGAGCAAGACGTGTCGTTACACGGAGCGGCAATCAGGGCAATCAAGAGAAGGACTTGCAAGTCAGGAAACTGGTGCATGTCGGTCGCGGGAGTTTGAGTGGTGCTGGTGTGCAGTGCGGACTACTGCACAGCAACGAGTAAAATATTGCCATCAACACTTATACGAGCATTGACCGAATGGACAACTACATTTTTTTTGACAGTATTCGTTGCAGTAAGAAAACAAAGTAGTTCATCGTACTCGTCACGGAACCCATCTCAAGCCAGCCTACCCGGGGACTGGCCCAGTCTTCACTTGAAGCTGACCTTCTTCGCTGGACATCTCCTTTCATCCGGTGTATTTCTGCCATACACTCCGCAAAAGGTCAGGCTGGTCGCCTCCAGAATCATCTCAATCTCGAAATAAGCCTGATAGAGCCTGGTCCTGCCTCTATTATGGGCGATGGTCGGGATGGTGAGACCCCTGAGGTCAAGACTGAAATCCGTAACTTTCCATGCATCTGTACGTTACAAGGCGGCAAACTCATGTCAGTACACATCGGAGTCAAGGGCATGGAGCTTACGCAAGTTGATGCGTGGGGACATACTGGAGTCGTTTTTATACTCGGGCGGATTTCGCTTCTCGCAGACAAAAATTTGGACATGGATAAAACAGACCTCATGCGGTAGTTTGCCAGGGATGACCTTGGCGAGCTTTTCGAAAGGGTAGTATTGTGGCTCGCCATTGGGAACATCATCGTCCTGGTTTTCAACTAGTCAGTATTCTGGAACCTTGACAAGTTGAAGGAGACGGAATTCTGCGCACCATCTTGGCAAACCAATTCATCCGCGCGACTTTGGCTCCGTCGTCTCGCATCTCCCTACTCGTCATGTTAGCTTTGTGGCAGACTTCCAAATCCATCATCGATCGCGCCATACCTCTTGTCAATGGGGTCACTGTCCTTGTAGTCGTCGTAGCCCCAAGTGCCGTAGTGGCGGCCAGCTTTCCTGGAGACGACTCCCACGCTGCGGGTCGATATGAAATTGAAAGCTCCATCCTGAGCGAGAGTAGCTACCGCCAGACTGTGCAGGCTAGCAGTAACCGCACCCTTCACAATTGCTGTTGCACTGTTTTGTTTTGCATCGTGGTCAGGCCAGTGCTGCGCGAGAACGTAGAGAACCCGACTTACCTGTCCTCAAACTCGGATACATTGATACGTTGACGGACCACACATTCCATACGTTGCAGCTTCCTCTTCAGATACGGGTTCCGGCCGAATCCCCCAGCAAGCACAACCTCCTTCACACTGCCTTCCGTGTGGCGAATTTGATCACGGACGAGTACTTGGATTTTGTTTACGACAATGTCAAATACATTGACGCGTAGTTCTTCGTCTGTCAGCTCAAGGAGATTATTCTGAATCCCATGCTGCTCGCTTAGCTTGAGACCCTGTATCCGAATTAAATGCGGTTCTCGATCTCGACCGGAGAAGCTGGGCTTGATTTTCGTCTCGAAAGCTCCCAAAGCGTCAATCATGAAGTCTGGGTCCCAGTAGCGGTAGTCTTGGAACTTCTCCTCAAGGTATTTCTCAAAGATGCGGTTTAAAAAGATGCTGCCGCAAAGCCCACCCGAGCCCGCTCCTGCCCCGACCAGTTCGCATTGCTGCCGGTCTTGCGACAGAAACTTGACCCGGAAGGAGGTGAGGTCAACAGTTCTATTGGTGAGCCAAGAATGTCGGGTCAGCCATGTCGTTCTTTCCTTGTTCAAGACGCTGAGATGGCGTCCATCTTTGAGAAATGTACGTACCCACCCCCAGCATCGCATACAACAAACACATCGCCTTCTTCTATACTGGGCATGTTCTTAATGGCCCATATTGCGGCTGCTTCGGACTCGGGGATCAGCATGATCTCATTACCCTTGCCCATACCAGCCTTTTTGGCGCAGTAGCGGGTCTTCTCTTGCTCGGAATAGTCCCACAGAGCCGGAACGGTGATGATGTATTGCCTCTCCACGCTTGAAAACTGCTCAGCGGGGCCAAGCTTCTTATCTACGGCTTGCTTGATGCCGGCCAGATAGTCCCTGACAAGCTTCTCGCAGTCTTTTCCCTTGACGGGCTGCTTGGCCATCTTGCTGTCGTAGAGCTGTATGAGTTCCGACTCCCGGGCTCGTCGTTGTTCAAAGTCGTCGCAAAGACCCAGCTTGAACCACTCATGGATCAGTTCACCCTGCTGGGCATATCTCTGGGCGCGGTATCCCCAAACATATGGGCCACTCATTTCGCCATTGTCGTAGCGGAGCACGCTGACAAGTGATGCGAATAATATTAGCAGTCACAATGGCCGTCGATACGCAGGGTCGACGACTTACCTTGGCACGTGGCCCTCGGTATTATCTCCACCTTCACCCCAGCTCGTCAACAGACTTGGTCCAACAGCATGGATCGAAGACGGTGTAAGCATACGCTGTTGAGAGATCTGAGAAGGCTGATACTTACCTCTTTAGTATAGGCATAGGCTACTGAAGTGCATGTCGTTCCTGCGGCGCCAGAAAATTGGTTACATCTAGTGTGATGTGCACGACGGGCCTGGGCACATAGCTGAAGACATACCAAAATCGACGGCTACAAGAAGTTTGCCGCGATCCGCCGCAGTGCCGACCGTGCTTGATTTCTTTGGCATACTGATGGACTTGAATGGCAGACAGCATTGACAGTTCGATAAGCCTCTAAATTGACCAAGCCGCTGATGTTTGTGTCAAACAGCAAGCCAAGGGAGCCGGAGCAGGCTGAATCCGACAGACAGGACATATCTCCCGCGTAAGTGGGCGCCACAAGGAGCGGAAAGACAGCCCAAGTAAAATGCGAACCATTTCGGCAGCCTTTCGCAAGGTGTCACAGATCGCCGCCTATGAGAAACCGGCTCTCGACCCACGAGACCACATCTACGACAGCCAAATATAGGCAAATTATACGACGCAATGAACATTCTTATATCGGGGTTTACATACTAGGCACACGCCGAGAGCGCAGATGATCATTTTCGGTGTATCAATATTTATAGGGAGCGGGGAGCAAGGAGCGGGGAGCAGGTTGGCAGGGAGGCAGGGAGGTGGCCAGGGAGGCAGGCAAGCAGGGAGTACCTGTATGGGGGTAATTCGTATAGGGGCTCGAGGAAAGGCCGCTATCCGCTATCCGCTATCCGTTAGCTAGCTCGTCACTTCCCTTCACCCGTTATTTCATCTACCCACACACCAAGGTGTGAACCAAGCTTTGGCGACAATTAGCATATAGGCTGCCGACACGTCAGTCGGGCGTCAACAATTCTCTTCCAGCTTGCCATGACACTCAGCCTCTTCCATAATTGAAGATCTTACCCAGTATTTCTCTGCGCCGCCACCCCCCGCGAGCTTGTGCAGAAACGTGGGCCGTTGCATCGAGATTGGCACCCTATTTCTCATTTCTGCAGCCTGACTTTGTTTGCTCCCAGGGCACAAAAAAATACCTCTACACTGAGCCGAGTCTGCTCACACAGATACCATCCTCTATCGACAGTCCACCAAGGAGGCTACATGGTAGCTTTCTGAACTCGATGTCTAATCCCGATGACTGGCCGGAGGAGGCCAAGAATAAAATCTCACGGCTCGAGCAGGAGGTGGGTCGCTGTGTCGCCATGATCATTTCACGCGACTATGAAAATGAAAACGACCGGATTACAGATGGCGATGTGAAGAGAAGATTCGAAGCGATTTGCGCCAATATCGACGACTGGACCACGGCCATCGAGCTGGAATTTCTCCAGCAGGGGCGCGATTTCCACCAGCTATTCCACCAAATGCTTGATGATGAGCCTGGACGGAAGTTGCTGTATCGTTGGGGAGTGCTGGAACGCCCCCATGATCCTGCTCAAGAGATTGGAAAGCTGTACTGGCTAGGTAAGCTCGACACATGTATCAAGGTTGTCTTGTCACGCGTCATATGGCAATCCTTGTACGCTGAGGTCTTCGCCAAAACATACCCCCCTGGAACGGAAGACGACGCTGCCAACGGGATGCATTGTATTATCGATGCAATCAGGCACGGCGCCGACGGAAAACTCAGCGAAGGTCAGTCGCGAGAGAACCAGCAAAAATTCCAAAGCAGGCTGACCCAACTAACCACTAACTGGAGCAACAGAATCAGTTCTTCAAGCGAACAAATTTAGATCAAGCGCCTTTTCTCGTCTCACGAAGACAGAATCGTTCAGGTCTGCACGCCATACGCAATTGACAAAGATGTTGAAATCACTGCGGGATACACTACGCAGACCTCCACTGTCCATGGACGAAAGAACATTCCAGAAAAACACCCCGAAGCTCCGAGATGACATTATTCTGGCAGCTGCAACCCTTAAACAAGAGATGGCTTGCTCCACTACCGAATGGTCTATTCTCGATCCTCGCGCCTGGCTCTCTCCTCAAGCCCAACTGCACCAGTCGACGCTGAAGGACACTGCCGGGTGGAGGGTTGTGCATCAGAGCCAGTCCGTCGGCGGCATCATTCTATGCTTATTCCCAGGTGTTTACAAAATGGCTGCAGAGGATGCGAAGCTCTCGTTGGTGAAGCCTGTTCTAATGACATACCACCGAGATGCCGCAAAAAATATCCAAGCTTTCCAGTCGCAAGCGGCACCTTTGACGTCAAACCGAAAACGTAGAACGCCTGAGTCAAGCCTCTACCGTCATCGGTCCGATGGGAAACAAGCTGAGGAGACAGCAGTGCGCTCTGTAAGGCGAGGTAAGCAGAGTGAGCGAGCGGGAGGGTCCTCTATATTGGCAAGGCTCCTGGCCAACCCCATGAACTACGTTAGAGACCGCCAGCCAGAGGGCAGTTCAAGATCGAATGCCAAATCTACCATCGATTCACCCAGTCGTGGCAGGGTGTTGGAAAATAAGACCAAGCAACGAAAGGCCCCGGGGCCTACACAGTCAGGAGAGAAGAGAGCACACAAAGAATCCTTGCGAAAAGCGACCCCAACCCCGTCTTACACAGCTGCTTCGGCCGATTCGCAGAAACGATCGCTGGCCAGTAGGGGGCGTGGGGATTCAGACGGCCTAGCGCCATTATACGACTGGAGAGATTCAGGAATCATGACTGATTCAGAGTGGGATGAGGATGAGCCATGGCCATATCATGGTCCTCGAGATCAGGACTAGTGCAATTTAATTTTCCATATATATATTACTGCTGTACTTCTTAAAGTACCCATTAGATCGGTTGTCAAGGTTGACTCAAACTTTGGGCAAATTGCATACATTTGGATGTGTATTGGAGCCAACAAAAAAGAATAGAGAAAAAGAAGTAGAAGATAATTAAAATGAAAAAAAAAAATAAAGACCCGTCAGGAAATATTGAATATACCCCAGAAGCTCAATTAAAAGATTCCGCTAATCCCATGGCCGGCGACTTCCGCGCTCATTCGCCCATCGCCTACCCCACCATTATCGTCTCTCCCGCCGCCAAAAAAAAGTTTCTTATCGACAACCCCATCTTCACCTCAACCACCAGCCCATCATCCCCCCCCAATCCTTCAGTCCTTCAACCACCAGTTACCACACCATCATGGTCCGTTACCCCCCCCCTTCCCCTACTCCCCAATTAACCTAAACCGTCCCTCCAGGCTCCCCTCCCGCCGGGGCTCAAGAAGCCCTCCGCGCGCTCCTTCCGCCAAGCGCGCCTCAGCGGCGCCGTGCACCCCCTCGCGCCGCTCAAGACGTTCCGGCCGGACGCGACCCCCTCCCTCTCCGACGCCTTCCTGTCGTCCAAGCGCGACAAGCGGCTGATGAAGCACTCGTCGTTTATCTCGCGCGTCGCCTCCTCTGCCGGCATCGCTAAAAAAACCAGGAAGCCGCGCCGCAGCAGCAACAAGCTGGCCACGACGCTCGACGGCTTGGCAGACGCCCTGCCTGAGCTGGAAGAGGGACCTGCGCAGCCGGGCAAGGTGCGCCATAGGAGCATCAGGAGCAATAAGGGCGCGCTGAGGAGAAAGGAAAAGGTCGTCAAGGGCGAGATGCATAGGTTTGGCGTGAGTATGGCGCAGATGGCGGCGACGCAGCAGCAAGCGGGCAAGAGTGAGACGGGCGAGGAGGGACAGGGAAAGACGGGCGCGCCGCCGCAGCCGCCGAGTCGGTGGGCCGCGCTGAGGGGCTACATTTCGGCGACAATGGAGCAGAATCCGGCATTTGTTGGGCGCTCGTGATGCACGTCTCCCGGCCGACGCAGACATGCACCGCATCTTCGCAGGAGTTTTGCACGAGATGGGACGCCAAGTTCCACGTCGCGGCAACGATTCCAGGAATGCATGAGTTGCAAATACACAGTGGCTGCAGACAAGGGCTACGTAAAAGGTGATAGGGTGTTTGGCGTTTTGTCACGGCTTTTTTTTTAGGAAGAAGAAGAAATTGATATATATGAAACGGGTTATTAATGAAGAAATAATAGAAATGAATAACAAGCTATGCAAATGTAAACTAGTGGCACAATGTCAGTACAAGGTGAACATCATATCGTAATAAAAACGAGACCGCTGTTATGCTAAGTTCCACTCCGGATGCCCCCCTCTTACACATTTGCAAGACCAGGTACAAATATCATGCGGTTCATGTCAACTCATTGCTCTCAAATACAAGCAGAGAAGCCTCGGAAAAAAGCAATGGGTGCCCGGGGACGACTAGGTGTGAAATGATGGGTATAGGCAAGTGCCTCCGTGCAGCAATTGACCAATCATTTGCACCGGTGGTCGAGACGCGTACAGCACATGCGGCTCCGCATCAACGTGTCGTAAAAACACGGCAGGCTGGCGGTGGTGCGGAAACGAGTGAGTGTTGATAGCATGGAAGCCGAGGCCATGGAAGCCGGGGCCATGGAAGCCGGGGTCATGGAAGCCGGGGCCATGGTAGGAAGGCGGAGGCGGCGGCGGTGGTGGCGGTGGTGGTGGCGGTGGTGGTGGTGGCGGCGGGTGATGCCAAGGAGGCGAGGCTGCATACACTGGCGGGAACATGTGCGGTGGCATCGGCGGTATCGCCCGACTTGGATAGTCCAAAGAGGGTCGCATCGGCATCATGCCATGTTCCATGCCGGGTGGGCAACGGGGTGGGCTCCGATTGCGATCGCGGACCCCAGGTCCATCCAAATAGTGGTCTCCACTTCGAGAGCTGCATGCGTTCCTATACGAGGCACCTCGTCGAGAGCTGTATTCGGAGGGAGTTAAATAAGTTGAATCATGATAGTCGCTGGGACTGCGTCTGCTGCTATCGACGCTGGGTGCTTCAAAGCTGTGCGCCGCCGTGGGAAAGTGATAGTCCAAGGGACTGCGTCTTTCGCTATCGAGGCTGCTTGCTTCCGAGGTGTGTGGAAAATCGTACTCTTCGGGGCTGCGTCTTCTTGAGTCAGGGCTGCGTCCTCCGATATCAGGGCTGCGTCTTCC